GTGTGACAAGCAGAGGAGTGAGGACATCCCCACGCCCAGGCCGATCGAGGTAGGGGATCCCGAGCTTCAATGGATCGTGCTCTAGCACTTTGAGCTCGTGCGATGTCTACGTTTCTGTTGCAACTTCTGTAACTAACAAAACTCGTTTGTTCTTCAATTCGTGCTTGTAACTTGTTTATGAACTTACGATGTGTTTCCGACGCGTTGTGTGATACATCACGCTTCGCGTGGCACAACGTGCAGCGCTCTCGCGCCGTCCCCGCCGTGATCCCGTCTGGGTGGGCGTCTTGGGGTCGGTACCTATTGGCGCGGGGGAGGGCCTATGTGGCTCGCCCATTCTGGCGTAGCCGTTAGCGCACCGCGCGACGGACTCCGTGTAGACCGCGTACTACCACTACCACTACCACTACCACTACTACCACTACCACTACCACTACCACTACCACTGCCACTGCCACTACCACTACCACTACCACCACCACTATCATTTAGCACTACCAACACTGTACAGGTACCACTGGAGGTGGGCACCAGCAGGCCTCAGCGCGCGGCAGCGCTGGCTGCGGCTCCGGCGACGCCAGCGGCTGCGACGCTGGAGCCTCCTGCGCGGGCGCGGCGGGCTCCGCTGGCGCGGCCGGCCGGACCTCGGCGGGCTCCGCGGGCTGCGGCTCCAGCGGCGGCACCGGGGTGGCCTCCTGCGGCTCGGCGGGGCGCGGCGTGGCGCTCGGCGGCGGGGCGGGCTCCGCGGGCGGGGCGGGCTCCGGCAGCGCAGGCTGCCAGGGCAGCGCCGCGGGCTCCAGCGGCGCGCCCGCCTGCGCGGGCGCAAAAAGGATTGGCATGAACTACCAGCGGGTACCCGTGCGAAATACCACGACACCTGCAGACGTGGACAGGAGCGTGCCCCCCCTCCACCACATACACAGCCTGATAGACGTTCAATCCAAATCAAAAGCCTACCGCAGGCGCCGATCTTTTCAAACCAACAGCTCCTGCGCAGACCAGACCAGCACCACCGCCGTTGGAACCCACGGCGACGGGACCCCTCTCCCCCCGGGCCACGACACCACAGGCCCCCCCCCCCACGGCTGTCCCCACCGCCCCCCCTCTGGCCGAGCCCCCACGAGGTCGGGCAGGCGGCCCATGCCAGGCCACGTCGGGCACTCCCGCCCCTGGCCAGGAGCAGATAAACGCAGCAACGTTTGCTCGCGCCGAAGCGGTCAACGCGTGTCGCTTGACTTGATGAAACTAGTTCGCGTGAGAAGAAGCCCCTGTGAGGACTGAAGCCTAAACGGTCGCAACGCACTCCATCTGGCCATACCTGAGCAACGGAAATGGCTGCCCTGAAACACTGACACTGTGACAGTTGCAGTGTCGAGCAGTTCGCGGGACAGCGTTCCAGCGCTTATGCTGGAGAGGTTGCTTCACGAAGATGGCAACTAACCAAATGCACGGCGCCATACGCCAACAAGAAGCCCAGTGACCACATCGAGCCGACGGCGTGTGTGATCCCACATGGCACGCCTGCGTATCATGTCATGCGAGGAAGTCCCATGGGGAGGCTTCCACCGACGCGCGCAGCAGACTTGTTTCTCTGTAAATGTTTGCAGCTCTTTGCACCTCTGGAGGCCTCGGAACTCCCTCCCTCCCTCCCTCCATACCTCCTCCCCCCGATGATCCTCCGAAGGTCCTCCTCGCGGCGGCGCTTGAGAGTCCCAGGACCATCACATCGCGTGCCCACGCGTCAGCTGCCAGCGCCGAAGTGCAGCGGTGCGCGCGGACATGGACCCAGTGGGTGCCCAGGTGGTCCCCACGAGGCACGGAGTGGCTCCGGTCCCGCCCAGGAGCGAGGAACACCCAGCACGGCGGGTGGGAGGCCGAGGCAGGGTGCCGAAGGCCCTCGCTGGTGGATGGCGAAGACAGCCGAGGCCAAAAGCCGAAGCAGGAAGCCGAAGCTGTGCGAAACGATCACGCCAGTGCGGGTCGGCGCGGCCTCGCCCCCGAGGCACTGCTGAAGCAGCGGGGACGGGCCCAGCTGGATCTGCTGGTCGTCCCCTCTCGTGGTCTCCCGGCCGTTCTGGCTGTCCCCGTTGCAGCTGTCCTGCGGGAGGATGCGGGACCCCAACACGCGACGTCGCAAAAGGATCATGGTGTCGTGAGGGGTGAAGGGGGAACAAGGTAACAACACCGGCTGCAGGACCCACTCTACCCAGGAGATCCTGGGAGGGGAGAACAAACTCTGGCTGGGGGGGCATGCGACGGGCAACTGGCCATGGCTGGTGCCAGCGCAGCCCATTGGAAGTGAATCACTGTAAGAGTTACGGCTGCGCTTCAAACGCAGAATACACGTGTGATCCAGAGAAGCAACCATTCGGGGACCTTGAGTTGTATGAGGCCCTACAATAGGATATGTAGTTGGGGCTGTACTAGGAGCTGTAGTCTGAGATTAGCAACAATTGTAGAAAGAGCTGGGAAGGGACTGTACGGTCAACCCGTGCAGTAAGGATGTGCGATAAGGTTGCAAGGGCCTTGGACGCCCAATTTGAAGCTCTTCGAGCGGGGCGCGGCCAACGAACGTGGCGAAGGATGGACCGAGGGGGCAAGGATGCAAGGGTACCCTTGGGAAGGTTGCCCATCCTTACTATGAGGGTTGACTGTAGTACACGCGGCACTGCCAAATGCAGTAGGAGCTGGCATAGGAGTCGTCGTGTAGCATCCGTGGGAGACGTCGCGTTGTAGCTCGCTGCCTTGAAAGATACCTTCGCCTCTCTTGAACTATCCCTTCGTAGGCATCCTAGCACTATACTTCTGATGCCCTCCCCCTCCTCGTCCCCCACTCCTCCCCGCGGCCGTCCTGCCAGGCGCCCTGCCAGAGCCCCCCTTGCCCGTGGAGCGCCGCCGGGCCCTTCGTGGAGCCGCGGCCCTCCCCGTCGCTGCGCTCGGCAGCCGCGGCGGCCTGAGCGCACGCGCGAGCGCGGCCGCGGCCCCGCCACGCCCGTCGGGCGCCTGGGGATCGCCAGGCCCCCAGGCGGGCCCCTGGGAGGCTCCCGAGAAGTCTCGGGGCCCCCGAAGAGGCCTCCAGGGGTGGAGGAATCTGTGGAAACCAAGCAAAAGATACCGATACCGCTACTCCACGGACCTCTCCCGGGGTGCGTTCTGACCAGAAGTTCGGGGTGAAGCCAGCGGTGGTGACGAGGGCCTCCGAGGAGGCCCAACAGAAAGGAAAACGAGGAAAGCATGGGTACCTCTCCCTCTTCTGAACTGTCCTCATCTCCGGCGGGCCAGCCTCCTCGGCGCCACCACGGCAGCCTGCCCCCTCGAGGTGGGCATGGGCGCCGCGAAACCCGACGGCAGGGGCATGGGCGCCGCTGTCCCCAGCGGGGCCAAGCCTTTGCCAGGTGACAGGAGGAGAGAATGCGGCTGCGGACCAGACGGGTGGGTCTGAGCCCGCGCTGGTTCAGACAGGGCACTGAACCCGAACGGGTCTCAAACTCAGCCTCTTTCAAACTGCGCTGCTGCCCTGGTGCAGCGGCGGGGCTTCGTCGCAGGCTGCTGGGCAACCCTCAGCCTATCAACCATTCTTGCTGAGCGGCCAGGGCTCCAGATGGCGTCGTATGCTCCACGCTCCAGTCATTGACCGCATGCCCCACATGTCGCAGCAGGGGCGCAAGGCACGAGGAGGAGGGAAGGCGGGAGGATATCCCGCCTCCGCGTCCCCGGGCACGGCGCGGATCCACGAGTCAACGACCGACGCGTCGCTGTCCCAGAGCTCGAAGCGCTGGCGGCCGTCTGGCAGCAGCGCGGCCTGCCCGGCCGCGGAGACGACAGGGAACGGCGCTCACGATCTCGACCCCTCTTTTCTCGAGGGGGGGCAGGAAGCGTGCAGTCAGGCTGCTAGGGCATAGAACGCTACAAAAGAAAAGGAGTCCCTTCTGGCACCCAAATCGCCTGAGTGCGCGAGAAGCGCTGGAGGAACAACCATGGAAGGACCAACACAGAAGCGAGCCCCTTCCGACACCTGACTGCTACTTACTTAAGCGTCTAGAACGTACACCACTTGAGTCGGACGAAAACGGGAATGCAAAAGGAGGTGGCAAATCAACTCACGTAGCTGGTTTTCCCGGCGCCTCCCGGCGCCAGCAGATTTCGCACCCCCCCCCCTTTGCGACCCAACCCCCTTCCGCCCGACCCGAGCCACCAGTGCTTCCCTCCCTTTACGCAGGTGACGCGCATGAGGGGGTGGCGCGAGAGGGGTGACCTTCAAAGAGGGTGGCTGCCTTCCTAGAAGGCTCGAACCCTCTCTGAAGCACTCGTAGAGCCTGGAGGGCCTTTGAGAAGCTCCCCGCCTTCTTAGAAGGCCGACCACCTCGCGCCACTGAGGGGAGCCGCAAAGGGGGGACTGGCTCAGAGGGGGAAACCATGACCTGGAATCGGACGATGCATCGCTGATAGATCGGCGATAGGCCCCCGATGGTGAGCCCGCGTTCCTGGGCAGGCTTGGACGCCCAGGCCCCGACCTGCGAGGAGTGTGCGGTTGGGGGCCGATGCTTCCCCCCTCGAGCCAGCCCCCCCCTGTCGGCGCCCCCAGAGCCACACTCCGTCGCCCGTCAGCCTCGAGCGGTCCTCCGCAGTCTCCCACGGTCTACGGCGGCCTCCGGTAGCCCCCTCGTCTTCTCTCATTCGGACGGGGATAACTCGGTTAACGTCTGAGCGCACAGCGGCTCTGAAGGATTCATCGGGCGCAGCGGCCGTTCCAGAGCGTTCCAGAACGCTCTGAGAGCGTTCCGTAACGCTCTTGAGCGATTGTTCCTCCTCCTCTTCCTCCTCCTCCTTCTCCTCCTACGCCCGCCTGATCTTCCCCTCCCCTGTCCTGGGAGAGGGGGACGGAGACACTGCTGGTGCTGCTGCCTGGGCCTGGAGCTTGGCCGCGCGCACAAGGGAGAGGGGGCGACAGCTTCTAAGAAGGCAGGGAGCGTCTTGGAGGCCCTCCCGCCTGCTGAAACCTTCCTAGAAGCCTGGGACCCCTCATAAGCACCTTGCCTTCTTGCTGGCACGTCCGACAAGTAGAGAAGGAAAAAATGGGGACGACGCCCAGCAGCAAACTTTGTCCGAAACCAGCAGCGGGGCGGGTTTGGCATGCGGCGTTCGTCTCAAATGGACAACGTCTGCGGAGGCATCGGCAACAAGCCGTGCTCACGTGCTCGTCGGTTTCGCCCCCATTCGTTCCGTACTCCCATCTCGGAAGTGACGATCTCGGAAAAAACACCCGTGACCGTCATCGACACAGGCATCAGAATCACAACACCAGGCCCTCACTCGCACAAGCCCCGAAGCCAGTTTATGCTCACGGGCATGGAAAAAGAAAAAACGTCACAAACATAAACTGATGCGAGAAATCCGCGCGGAGCGCCAGAAGTATACATATAACGGCGCACCAGGTCCGGGGGCCCGGGGCCGGGACCTCGACCACAAATGTGGGCTCCGGGGGGCCCGGAGGCTCGTCGGGGCTTGCCGGAGGCCTCCCCGGTCAGACAAGACGGCCCCAGGAGCGCCCAAGACGGCCCAAGAAACTTCCAAGAGGCCTCCAAGAGGGCTCCGAGATGCTGAAGATGGCCTCCAGACGTCCAAGGACGCCCCCAAGAGGCCCCAAGAAGCCTCCAACATGCGTCCCAAGAGGGCCCCTAGACGCAAAAATTGGCCCATTCCCTTCGTAAAACGTACATTTTCAACAAAGTTGTCTTTTGGGCTTTCCGACGTTACAGGACGGCCCAAGAGGCGCCCAAGACCGCCCCAAGACGGCCCAAGAAGCTTCCAAGAGGGCCCCAGGACAGCCCAAGAGGGCCCCAAGACGGCCCAAGAGGCGCCCAAGATGGCCCAAGAGGGCCCCAAGACGGGCCCAAGAGGGGGCCCAGAGGGGGACCACGAACCGCAAGCTCGAGCCTTCCGCCCCAAGAGGCCGCCAGGAGGCCCCCAGGAGGCCCCTCAAGAGGCCCCAGGAGACCCCAGACGTCCAAGGACGCCCCCAAGACGCCCCAAGAAGCCTCCAACATGCGTCCCAAGAGGGCCCCTAGACGCAAAATTGGCCCATTCCCTTCGTAAAACGTACATTTTCAACAAAGTCGCCTTTTGGGCTTTCCGACGTTACAGGACGGCCCAAGAGGCGCCCAAGACCGCCCCAAGACGGCCCAAGAAGCTTCCAAGAGGGCCCCAGGACAGCCCAAGAGGGCCCCAAGACGGCCCAAGAGGCGCCCAAGATGGCCCAAGAGGGCCCCAAGACGGGCCCAAGAGGGGGCCCAGAGGGGGACCACGAACCGCAAGCTCGAGCCTTCCGCCCCAAGAGGCCGCCAGGAGGCCCCCAGGAGGCCCCTCAAGAGGCCCCAGGAGACCCCAGACGTCCAAGGACGCCCCCAAGAGGCCCCAAGAAGCCTCCAACATGCGTCCCAAGAGGGCCCCTAGACGCAAAAATTGGCCCATTCCCTTCGTAAAACGTACATTTTCAACAAAGTCGTCTTTTGGGCTTTCCGACGTTACAGGACGGCCCAAGAGGCGCCCAAGACCGCCCCAAGACGGCCCAAGAAGCTTCCAAGAGGGCCCCAGGACAGCCCAAGAGGGCCCCAAGACGGCCCAAGAGGCGCCCAAGATGGCCCAAGAGGGCCCCAAGACGGGCCCAAGAGGGGGCCCAGAGGGGGACCACGAACCGCAAGCTCGAGCCTTCCGCCCCAAGAGGCCGCCAGGAGGCCCCCAGGAGGCCCCTCAAGAGGCCCCAGGAGACCCCAGACGTCCAAGGACGCCCCCAAGAGGCCCCAAGAAGCCTCCAACATGCGTCCCAAGAGGGCCCCTAGACGCAAAAATTGGCCCATTCCCTTCGTAAAACGTACATGTTCAACAAAGTTGTCTTTTGGGCTTTCCGACGTTACAGGACGGCCCAAGAGGCGCCCAAGACCGCCCCAAGACGGCCCAAGAAGCTTCCAAGAGGGCCCCAGGACAGCCCAAGAGGGCCCCAAGACGGCCCAAGAGGCGCCCAAGATGGCCCAAGAGGGCCCCAAGACGGGCCCAAGAGGGGGCCCAGAGGGGGACCACGAACCGCAAGCTCGAGCCTTCCGCCCCAAGAGGCCGCCAGGAGGCCCCCAGGAGGCCCCTCAAGAGGCCCCAGGAGACCCCAGACGTCCAAGGACGCCCCCACGACGCTTCGCGTCACCAATTTCTTCTCACAACGATTCCTGGGTCTGTGACTCGACAGAACCTAAGCGCGCGCGAAGCGCGCGCGTGGTTCTAGTGTATGTTTATGCCGTGTTCTCTTCTCCGAGGACACGTCCCTGGCCCGGCTCTGCAATCCGCCAGATCACACTGCGAACTGCGAGTGACCCCGGAAACGACGTCCCCTATTGCCGCGACCCCGCTGCTGCTGGAGGCCGCCCAAATATGGGGTCCCCGACTTCGGTGGCAACTCATGGGAGCCTCCCGTACCATTTTGTTGGCTCTTGCGAATCGATGCCAGTCGACGCTAAGTCGACGCGAGTCGACGCTAAGTCGACGCTAGTCGACGCTAACCGACGCTAAATCGGCGCTATCTCATCGACTCCCAGACGCTAATCGACGCTGAAGACAAAATTAAGAGGGTATACCCGGCTCCCATTATTTGCTACCGAATCCGACTAGCGGCCCCGGGAACGAGCCCGTCCCCCATTGCCGCGACCACGCTGCTGCCAGAGGCCGCCCAAATATGGTAGAGAGCAGAAAATCCACCCCCATAATAAGCACTCCGACGACAAGCGAAGCCGTTTCGTAAACGCACCCATGGAAGGGCTGAAACAGGGCAGGGCTGCTACAGTAAACGCCCAGGGCCGATTGGTAAACGCCAATTGTCGGGATCGGGGTGGTTTTTCCTCCCTCGATATGCCGGGGGCGGCCAAGAGGGGGGCGTCCAAGAGGGGGCGGGTGCAAATCGAGGCCGGCGGCACGTGCGCGGCCCAGGGGGGGGGACCAGGGACGTAATGAAACAAGACGAGGCACCATGAAATCTGGGGGGGGTTCATGGCCCACGCCATGATATCCACCCTCCCTAGTCATCACCCCCTCTTGGCCGCCCCCGAATATGGGGCCCCCAACTACCGGCTGGGACCAGCGAGAAGAGCATCGAGCTCCATCGAGCCGCTTCGCCGAGGCTGAGTGAGCGGGCTGCGACAATAGAAAATCGAGTAGGGGATCGACTAGAGATTAAGGGCGCCCAGGGACACACAAATTCGCCGGTACAACGGGCCAGAGGCGTGCTAAGATCTCCGGCAACTGGTTCACAATATTTCTAGTTCGCGCGCGCGGGGCGGCCCCTGGGGGTCCCCCGGCGAAAAGTATCCCGACCGCAGCCCGACCAGGTCTACTCAGAGATGGTTTTGAGGACCTTTTTCCGACACCCCTCACGAGGATCGTGGCCTCCGAGGGGAGTGCACTCGACTACCCCGCCCCAAGAGGCCCTCAAGAGCCCCCCAAGAGGCCCAAGGGGGCCCCAAGACGCAGCCAAGGAGCCCCAAGAGACTCCCAAGAGGCCCCCAAGAGGCCCCTAGGAGGCCCCAAAGAGGCCCCCAAGAGGCTTCAAAGAGGCCCCATAGAGCGCTCGAGGGCCGGCGGAATGAGCGAAGCGATCAAGTAAATAGAAACAAATCCCAGGATTCCATCTACATTTTCCTAGATGGTTTGGGTTTTCGGTTTCCCCCCCACACTTCCCAAATGTTGCCACATTTTCCTGGGAGTCGACGATGAATTGTGTCTGTGTGCTTTTCCCCCTCCTGATACAGATGGCCCAGAATGGCCCCCAAGATGGCTCCAACATGGCTCGAGACGGCCCACCACGGTCCAAGAGAGCCCTCAAGACGGCCCAAAATGGTCCAGATGCCTCTCGCACGGGTTGGTGTGGTCGTTCTTGCCGTGGCGCCCCCTGGGTGGATGCCTGTGGCTGGTGCATATGATGCAGTATTTGCTGCGACGTCGTTCTTCCAGTAGGGGATCGACTACAACCTTGATTCGCCCCCCAAAGAAAAATTGCCCGTCGACGCTACGGAAGCTCGACGCAAATTCTCGTCGACCCTATGGAAATTCTCGATCGAATATTCCGAGTTCCCCGTAAATTGACGGAAATTCGAATCATCCGTCGTAGATTCGATTGGGAAAATCCATCTGGGGCGAATCAACTCTGTAGCCGATCCCCTACTCGAGAAAACTGCGGCCAGCGAAATCAGGAGTAGCTTGCCGTGAGGCCTCGACGACCTCGCGCACCGCGGTCAGGACTGGGCTGTTGGCCGGCCACTGTTTTATCCTGTCGACCATGCTGCTCCTCGTCCTCCCTGCCCGTCCTCCAACTCCTCCTCCGCCTCCTCCACCTTCCCCTCCGCCCTATCACGCCCTCTCCCACTTCTATTTCCACTCCTCTCCATTTACGATGTGACTCCTGCCTCGCCCCTCCCCCCTGGCCCTATTGCGCATCGGCAGCTCGGCACGGCGCGTTAGAATGCAAGGTTTAAAGGGTGATGGGGTCAAAGAAAAAGTGAGGGGCACGTTCCAGCCTTTTTGGCTCGCAGCGCGCATGCCCTTCGGGAGGTGCCACAGCCATGGCGGCCGCCGCCACGCTCGCTGCCCAGGCGCTCGCCGCTGTCCTGCGTTGGGGCGCGGGCGAGGCCGCGGCCGCCAGGTCGGCTGTGCTGCTGGGCCCCCGCCCCGCAACAGGCGCCGCAAAGGCGCCGGCGCCGGCGCCTCCCGCGCCAGCAGCCTCCCGCGTGGAGGACGCTGGGGGGCGGCACTATGCGCACGAGGACCAGGACAACCTGGTGCCCGCGGGCATCCTGGGCCTCATCGGGAACCCAGCCGAGCTCGACGGCGCAGTTGCGCTGGTCGCAACGCCAGGTGGCCTCGCGGGCCCGTCGGCGGCTGAACTCGCTCGGGGAGTCGAGCTGGCGACGGACATCGGCAAGGACACGGAGCCAGAGCCACCTGAGGCGCCAGGGGCGCCAGAGGCAGCCCAGCAGCACATCGTGCACTCACTACGAGCACCATGGGCACCTACGGGGTAGATTCGGGCACGCTTCGCCTCATCGCGGACAGGCCCGACCGCGACGGCACGCCACGCCGGGCATCACCGTCGAGGACGACGAGGACGATGGCAACGGCGAGGACGCGGAGGACGACGCATACGAGGAGATGGGAGAGCCGCTGACCCCAGGCCCAGCGCCGCCGCCCCCGTCCATGATGGAGACCGCCCTCGGCCGGCCGCCGCCCTCGCCCCGCCCGCGGCCTCCCCCGCCAGGCCCGCTGCCGCCTGGAGCTGGACCGCCACGCCGCGCACCCGCTTTGGGCCGCGCAGCTGCTGCAGCCAACCCCGCGGCAGCCCTCCTCGGGGCCCCGCCCCGCCAGGCATGGGGCATCGCTTTCGGGGAGTGCGCGACGATCGTCTGGACCCTGGGACGCCTGCGCATACCGATCGGAGGTCGGGGCTGTCTGGTCTTCGCCGTCGCAGTCGACGCTTTCCTGATCAGCCCAATCCGGGCGCGCGCGGGGCGCCCCGGGCGCGGCCGCCGCCCCCCCCCCCCACCCCACCGCGCCCCCGCCGCCGCAGCCGGAGCTGGTCGGGCCCAGAGCCCCACGCCCAGTCAACAACGCGAGGCGCAGCGAGGCGCGGGCCCGAGGGGCCACTGGTCACCCTCGCCACCTCATCATCGTCGCGGAGGGGCAGACCGCGCGCGTCTGCCGAAGGTCTGGCGTTGAGCCGCCGTAGCATCGAGGCACCCTTGGCCCAGCTGGGCGAGCTCAACCCCGCGGCCGCAGAGCAGGGCGAGGGGCGCGTCGCGCTGGTCGCGAGCCGCGACGCCGAGCAGGTTTACTACGCGTTCGGGGCCACGCCATTTTCGCCGCGTCGCCCTCGGCTCGGGCGGGGCGGCCGGCGACTGCCCGAACTCGACCGGGCGGCGGAGGTGCCGCGCAAGGCGGGCCCCCCGCCAGCAGCTGCCTGGCCGCAGAGGGTCGAGCTGCAGGGGCCCCGCTGCTCGTCGCGCAGACCCACGCCGAACGCGCCCCCCAGGGCGCGGCCGCAGACTGCTGCGGCACGGGGCGTGCCGGGCTCGGCCTCTCGCAGATGCACAACAGGCTGGGCCGCCTTAAGCACGCGCTGCCCGAGCTAGAGGAACAGGCTGGCGAGACCGCGGAGAGCGGGGAGTTCGAGGGGCAGTCGGGGACGTCAGCCCCACCGACTCCGAATGCCGAGGCCACCCAGGGAGGGCCCACCGCAGCCGCGGCAGCAGCCGGAGGACCAACCGCCGATCCGACGGGTCGGGGGCACCCACCAACGACGACCTGATCGACCTGCTGCGAGGCCATCAGCCGGAACCCGAGACCCTGGACAGGGAGGCCCTGCGCGCCCTCACCCCACGAGGCGCGCCGACGCACCCCGAGCCAAGCGGCCTTGGCGAGGGAGGTCCTGGAGGAGCGGCGGCCGCAGAGCACGGACATCGACGTGGCTAAGCAGTTCCAGCACAAGCACGGGCTTGACGACCTGGGCTCGGCCGCCGACGCGATCACGGACGCACTGCGACACATCGCTGGGCCGGATGGCCCCGCGCCGCTGCCTGGCGCGGAAGCCGGGGCCTTGCGGGCCATCACGCACGCTCTCTAGGAGCGCGAAGCCCCCCCGAGCCTGCGCCAGCCCCTGCAGCGGCGCCTGGCCCGAGCCGACCGAAGACGCCCAGCCCGGGCACCCTGGCGCGAGGCGCCCCCTCCCCGGCGCGAGAGCCCCGCCCGCCGAGGCCACGGCGATCGAGGACTGGGCCCCCCGCACCCGAGGAAGTGAAGCCGCCCTCGCCCGAGCCCCTTCCGCATTGAGGCGCCCGCCTCCACGCCAGGGGGCCGGGCGCCGGCGCCCGCCCCACCGCTGAGCGGCCATGCCGTCGGCTTCGCTGCGCCGCCGCTGCGGGTCACCAGCGGGCAGTTCGGCTTGGCCTGGCCGGGGCGGCGAAGGCCGGCGTCGACAGCCGCGGGGGCCGCCGCGCCCCCCAGTCGGGGCGCCTACGCGCGGGAGACCCCACGCGGCCGCCAGCCACTTCGATGGCGCCCCGCGCCCTGCAGACCGCTGGAGCGGCGCTGTCGGGGGCACCCCCGACCGGGGGCAGCCACGCCCCAGCCTGCCAGCGGAAGGGCTCGGCGGCGGGCCGCGCGGGCTCAACGACGCCGAGGCCTTTCTGACGGACATCGCCTTCGCAATGTCCACGCAGAGCAAGAGGAGGCCTGGAGAGGACCATGAGGCCAGCTGAACAGCATCACGCGCGAAGACGAATTCAAGGTCTTGGCGGCCGGGGGCCGCAACAAGTTCAGCGCGAGGGCGCGCGCGGACGACCTAGGCAAGGCGCTCACCGAGCCCCTGCTCACGACGACCGAGCGCCCAAGCGCCCTGCCGCTGCATCACCCGTGGCCGACCCCGCTGGACCACCGCACGGCACACGGCATAGGGGCCGGCTGCTGGGGAGGACGCGCGCTGCAGGGGGCTCCGCCCCACTGCCTCACCGCCGCCGACTGGCCGTCCGTCTCGAAGGAACGCTTCGAGGACTTCACGCCGCCGACGGAGTGCAAGCTGGAGGCCCGCCCGCACGCGCCAGCCCGCCACCTGGCACGCGCCAGCCCGCCACCTGGACTGGCAACGCCAGGCTCTCAACGGCGCCCGGGTGTTCGCGCGCGCCTACAGCGAGAACCATTGGCGTCGCATCGCGAAGGCCCTGGAAGACCTGCGCGGCGCGCACGAGGACAATCCGCGGAAGTACACCCTCCCGTTCTGCCAGGACGCCCGAGAGGAGCCCCGCTGGAGATGGTAGAAGGAGGTCACCTGGAGCGCGCGGGAGGTGCACCGCCGCGCGCCCAATAAGGAGCAGCTCCGCAGGGAAGATTTTATCTCCACGGCCCTCACGCCGCGAGCCAATGGCCAGGTTTTCCTTCAGATCCTGGGCACCTTCGATCTTCGGGACCCGCAGGGCTACTTCAAGACGATCATCGGGCATCGCCTGGAGAAGAAGGCGTACCGCGCCTACTGCGACCACGTGCACAAGGTCGAGCTGCGCCCGCCCCGGGCGGGGGAGGTCAGCACCGCCGAGGAGGAGCCGCAGACCCCCGCCATCGCCGCTGCCCCCGAGGAAGGCGCAAGCACCCAGGCAGGCAGCCGAGGGGCCGGGAAGGGGAAGGGCCCCCCGCCCGCCCCGGTCGCGCCGAACGAACCACTGCACCCCGCGGCCCGCCCACCCTCCGCCGACCGAGCAGACGCGCGCAGACGCCCATCCCCGCAACGATGGGACGCCGCCCGCTCGGGAGGCCGCCGCCAGAAGGCTAGCGATTACCCCCGCGGCCACGCTGAGGGCACCAAAAAATGCAAAGGAAAAGCTGGGCTGGACGGCGCAGGCCTCGCTGATCCGCCGCGGCGGCGCCAGCGGCGGCCCGCGCATCGAACCGAAAGACGCAGACTGCAAGCAGCAACTGGGCAACGCCAGTCGGCAGGCGGCGGCCCACAAAGCCGAGGGAGTCGCCGAGGCCCAGGAGAAGGCAGCCGCCGCCGCCGCGGCCAGGAAATCCTGGCAGGGGCGCGGCGGCGCTCTCGCGCCCCGCGCCGAGGCGAAGCCGCCCCCCCCCCGAGAAGGACCAGGACTTCGACTTCGCCAGCCTCGAGCGCGAGCTCCAGGAGTTGGTCTAGAGGCCCGACGCGAGCTGGCGCAAGAACCACGCACCGCCTGCCAAGGCAGTCGGAGAGAGGCCTGATGCACAGGAGCTGGAGCCCACCGCCCGGGAGCAGCTCGACCAGACGCAGGGGGCGACCAACTCAGAGGAGGGGAAGCGGATCCGAGGCGCCCACGCACGCCTGGACCCCCACTGCCCTGGGAGCCTCGCCGACGGCGGCCGATGGCAGCGGCCCCGGGGACTCGCCGAGGCTCTCCACGACGCAGTCGAGCAAGGAGACATGGAATTGGCAGAGCTGGCCAGGCCCTACCTCGAGCAGGAGAAGCCTGCACCCCCCAAGGCAGGAGGCGCGTTCCCTGCCCCGACGATCGCCAGGGCGACCTGAAGCGCAGGTCCGCGGCCGCCACTGGGAGGCGGTGACTACCGGGACTACCCGACAACCAACGAGGAGCTCGCAGACTGCATACGCGACCTGAGGGTCGGAGACCGCGAGCAGCGGCAGCGCGCGCACCTGAACGCGGCCGCCGCCCACCTGCACGCCAAGTACCAGGAGCTCCCAACAACGGACGCCGCCACGCAGCTCGCGCCCCA